CCAGCCAAATCTAAGCAAAGCGTTGTATCATTTCCTTCGTAGGTGGCAAACGTCGTTCGGTAAGCGTATCGATGTATCGTACAAGCTCCTTCTCGTGTTGTGGATGGAGGGAGAGGTTGCGCACGCCATAGGCCTCAGTTTCGCCGCGGTGTCGTCTCATCAACGTCATTCGTGCTACACCATGCTTTTTCGCGATTGCTTGATACGAGAATTTATCTCCTAGTTCTCGCGATTCGATTTCTGCAATCGCTTCTTGAATCGGGTCCATATTGGTTGAGTTTTGACGCGTTGAAGTTTTGTTGTTGTGGTGGTGGGGGTGCTCAACTGGCGATGGTGCTCATCTGGTGCACGGGCACTGTAGTTAAGCCAGGCCGAAGCAACGAACCGTCCTCCGAAATGCAGGAACGCGAAGCTGTTGGACCGTAGCTCTTGTTAGTCTTTCGTCAGATCTAGCCTATGGACTTTGCCTAGCGCCCAAGCTTACCCCAAGTAGTCTTTGGACCAAGTACCATGAGGCTGAAGTTGTTGGAAGACTACTTACTTTGGAAATTGTGTCGAGGAAGGGGCCAGTTTGTCGCTCCGCTATCCTCATGCTTCATGAGGAAGTCACAGTACAACTGCAATATTTCTACTGTCTTTGTCGGCAGGGTATACTGGTTGAATATGTATATAATGGATGGGAGTGGCATGAGGGAGAGGACACAACAAGCGTATCACGACTATCGCCACCCCTAGGACGAATAGAAAGAAGGATACAAAGACCCGAATATACTCATCTTATTAGAAATGATACCCGTCGTTTTTGCATCCCCTCTGGGACCCGCACAAGCAGCTGCACAAACCCAGGCACAAGCGCGTGCGAATGCACCAGCCCAATCCTCATCTCAGAGCCAATCTGCGTCACAAACGAGTACTTCGCAGTCTTCAAAGGTACATGCTCTAGCTTCTAGCTTAGCATCAGATCTCAGTTGACAAGTCCAGTGAACCAGATTCTAATATCAGCCCCATCACCGACCTCGAACACTTTTGTATCATCTGCGCTGGAATCAGCAGAAGAGTCACGCATAGCACAGGATCAAAAACCGGGACAACTGCCACAGTCCGATGAACCAGAACGACGAGAGGATGGCACAGTGGAAGATGATTAGACTTAAAATAGCAATGATGAATAAATATACCTACAGAGGTAAGGGGGAGTTTTTATATTTCATTTTCTCTAGCTTGGGAACGTGACTTCCAGCTTAAAGACTGTATCTAGACATTGAACAGTGGGATTTTTACATATTTATCAACATGATGTGACAACGGAATTCTACAAAAATTCATCAACTGCTGGAATAGTTTCTCATTTCATTCATTATCGTTCATACAAACGTGACTTTACTGCAGCATAGTAGGAACACAATTGTGTCTGTAACAAGCCATCGAGTCGTAGTAGAGTATATCGAAACAAGATCTCACAAGATACAGCGATACGTCAAAACCCCTCGGTCTTGTACCCATTCTCCATGTCAATGCTTTGTGTGATGAAATCACGTGCTAGCGCACCACGCTAAACCCCACTTCCCTCACGCGACGCGTCAAACCTTCACTCTCGGCAACCCGCACCGCCCATACACTCTCTACACGCACATTTACTCCCCTGCGGCCCCACGACACCCAGCCACCTTTGTTTCGCGCCCCCAACTCGAGAAACTTGCAGAACAACACACATCTCGTTGCCACGGTAGCAAACTCGATTCCAATCGGCAAAGAAAGCAGCAATCATGGACCACCCCCAGACACCGCGCATCCTTGCCCCGCACCTGTCCAACTTCCAGCACCGGATCGTGCGCATGCTAGGGAAGGTAGTGCAATTGCGTGGCGAGACGGCGGTGATTGATGCCGGAGGCCAAGTCGACGTTATTCTCAACAGGGTACGTGTTTTGCATTTTGTTTCGCCATGTTCAGAAGAGACGAAATGAATAAAAAAAGAGTTGGGAGATAGTGGTGAAATCGTATTATCGGGGGTAATATATCAAGTGGGGAAAGAAATGTGGGAGGAGAAAAGGGAATGATGCCAACAATGGTCTGGATGTTATACTGACGAAGTAACAATAAAAATACAGGACTCCCATCTTGCTGTTGGCCATGCAGTTGAAATTATCGGAAAGGTAGACCAGAATTTGCATGTCAAGGTACAAGCAGTCACGGATTTCGGCACGAATATTGGTATGTTTTTTTATCGTTACCTCTTTTCTTTCCTTGGCTCAGACTTGTCTACGCTTCAAGTGGCACCCGAGAAATTGTATCTTGTGCTAGAAGGACTTGGTCATGGCAATGTGAGAGAACAGGATGACTGACGCGCACGTACAGACTTCAACGCGGCTAATGCCGTTGTGGATGCTACACACCGATACAAAGAGATTTTCTACGACGACAAATAAGGTTGCGGGGAATTGAGTACTTAGACGAGTATTCCGGGAAGAGCATGACGAGTTATGAGTGCGAGAGATGAAGACAGCAGATTGTCAAGATCTCCTACCATCTGTAGATGCAGCGAACAGCAAGTAGACGAGCACCGCAGACAAAGAATCAACGGTAATTTGACACAGGGAAGAAAGGGCTGTAGCTACAATCAAGCAATATGTATATTGAAGAAAAAAACATACCTTTTTACGAAGCTAACACCGTAATACATGTTTTTGCTTGCCAACGTATATGGTATCTTGCCCGAGACGCCGCCGCTACCCACCCAAAATTCAAGTCATGTCTGCAAATAAAAGACTCCAGTACCAGACCCTTCCTAAAATGCAGAGAGGAAAACGTGTCTATATGTTCACATGACGCATGAGGCTACAACGCTATAGCTTACTTCGGACGCCTTCAAGTCTGAACTTGACGTCCTTTAACTGTTTACCCGTAGGCTTCCACTGCTCGAACAAGGCCAGTAGCTTCTCCACTTCCTGGCCAAGTTCCTTCTTGACAACATCTTCTTCCAGTAGGCCTCTCATGGCCCATGGCAGAAAGAAGGGATTTGGACTCGTTGTAGTGGCACTTGGTTCGTACTCCTTGACTCGCAATTTGAACAAGTCTTCTTTCTTGTCAGGATTCAGCTTCTCGCCGATGATGGGAATGTTGATGCCCTGGAAGCTTCCTGCTGTGCTGGGACGGTCTTTGCTCGATGAGATAGGGAGGGATGTGGTTTCGAGGGCGTGTTGTACGGCAAGGGCATATACGGCGGGGTCTTCATAGACGCGGGAGTGGCCTTCACCGCCATAAAGAGAACCGGCTAGCGCGGGTGAGAGTTCGCGAATGAGGCCGTGGTCGGGCAGCCCGAGGTTGCGGAGCTTGAGCGTGAAGCCGACGAGGTGAGTGAGGAAGTCGGGGGCGTGGATGCGGCCGTCGACAAACACGGCACGGTAAATGTAGGGGTGTGAGAGAGTTGAGAATGTGGAGGACTGCGGGTTGTTAGTGCTTGTTTCTAAGAAGGAATAGGCATATCATACTTCGACTGATACCAGCTGGTCATCGATGCTGCCAACATACAGTATGCGCACCCCAAACCGAAGAACCTCATCCAATGCGGCGAGGTACATCTGGCTGACCAAACTCTTAGGGTTTGAGAATTCGAAGAGTTCGGCAGCGGTGGGTCCAAAGTACTTGGTCTTGTACTCAATAAAAGGCCCCATGTTGACACCAGCCATCGCACATACTCCGATCCTTGTAGCATTGACGCAGCCAAACTGAATCAGCTTGGCTACAAGCATCATGGCGACTGGCACGCCCTGAGAGTGACATGCCACGAGAATGAAGTCTGCTTGTTTGATATGGTCAATCCAGTTGAGCAGAAGCTTCCACAACGAATTGACGCGCTCAGCAATGAAGCCCTCGCCCTCCAGCGCAATTTGCTCGATTTCTGGACAGTACCCCCGCGCCTCGGTCCATTCTTTAATGGCTGCTGCCGCGGCATTGGCGAACCGGATCGATGTGCCGGTTGGCTGGCCCAGCACCTTTTGAATAATGGGTGCCGGGAAGAAACCATGGACACCAATGGCCACAGCCTTCTTGATCTTTGGCGGCGCTGGGTTGATGTGTAGATGAGGCGCTACAGGCTCACCTCCAAGGAAATATTGGCGGATCTGTTTCCAAAAGTTCGGCTGTTGCACCATATGATAGGTATTTCTGAACTCGGGTAACAGGAGATTTGGTGGCTCTTGTTTGCCCTTGCCTGCCTTCTTTGGCGTAGGCTGGGCAACCGGAGCTGGCTCGGGCTTTGCAGGCTCACGCACGGGAGAGGTCTTGGTTGGAGTAGTTGCATTACTGGGACCAGCGGTCTCTGTGGAATCTTTCGCTGCAGGCTTTGTCTTTGGCCGACCTCGTAGTGAAGCAAACGGTTTCTTAGGTGTTGTTTTCTCTTCGGGTGTGTCTTGGGGTTCTTTGGGAACATCTTGAGCTGGTTTCGGCTGCTCTTGCTCGTTGAATTGTGCTGCTTCTGGGTTGGATTGCGAAGGGGTATCAAAGACAGCCACCTCACCCACATGCTTCTGTGGCCCAGCATCACCCGGCTTCTTGTTATCATCGGGCTTACCCCGATACCAAAACGCCCACGCTGAGGGCTTTGAAGATCGTGGTGCAGGTGTGGTAGACTGATCGCCAGCACTAGGTGCAGCCGGCTCTGCGGCAGGTGCCGCTTCTTGTAAAGGTGCGGTCTTGGCCGTTTCAGTCATCTCGACTGGTGCTTCTGGCGGCGGTTTTGGTGGTGCCTGAGAAAGTTGATCTGAATCCTGTGAGTCGGCTTCCTGAGCTGGTGGCTCTACAGGAGGGGGGTTGGCCTGGGCATTCTGCGCGCTGCTCCATGTCCAGAACCATGATCCAGAAGCAGCCTTTACCAATCGGCTGGCAGTGGAGGGCGGAGCTTCCTTTGCTTGTTCCTCTTGACTGGGCGGAACTTCGGGAGCATCTTTCATCTCCGTATCCCCATCCTGGTCAGTCTTGGCCGGTACAACGCCAGCATCCAAGCTCTTTGTAGTGGCATCTGGCTCCTCTGAAGGGGTTGGCCCAGGTAAGGGTGTGCTAGAAGCTTCTTGGACGTTCGCCTTTGCCTCACTTGTTGCTTTGGCAGCATCTGTGTACCCATCTGGCCGTGACCACCAGCTCTTCCAACCCCATGTGCTTGCAGCTGCGCTTGCTTTTGGCGTGGACGGTTCTGGGGGCAGCGGAGGCTCTGGAGGGTCCTCGACGGTCGGTGTTTGTGGCTCCTCGGCGTTTTCCTGTTTCGGCGGATGCGCATCATCGACGAGGCCATCGGAAGACACGTTGACCTGAGTGATGGCGGCAGGTATGATCTGGCTCTTGCTCGAACTGCGCTTGGTGAGGAACCGCTTGGGCGACTCGTCCTTGGGCGTCTTTGCTTCCTCGCCCGGCAGCTCGTTGGTCGCGCCGCCGCTCACGCCGATGCTCTCCTTTGCAGTCTGAACAATGGGCGGTGCCTTGGAGCGCCAGCTGCCCGTGCCCGATAGCCACTTCCTGCCTCTGGGCGTCTGCGAGCCCGTCGTGGTCGGGGTCGTGCTGCCGGTCGAGGGCGCCGAGCCTGCTGCCGACTTGTCTGGGGATGCATTTCGCAGGACTCTGCTTCCACTGGGCGTCGTGTTGGTGGTGCTGGCGGTGGTGCTGGCGGTGCTGGCGTCGGTGGTAATGGGCGCAGGCGGTGGCGCCTGCGTCTCTGGCTTGGACTTCTTGCGTAGGTTCATGCCTGCGGGCAGCGGCGACGACGAGAGCAGGCTGAAGGGCCTCTGTGCAGATTGTCAGCGCAGACTCGACATGTGGACGGAGGAAACGATGGAGTGTTTACCTTCATCCCGAGGATGGGCCAGGCACGCGCAGGCCTAGCCGGCTGCTGGCCATGACGCATGGTAGTCGTCCCGTGCGCTAATGCTGTAGAAAGACATGGGGGTCCACACATTCTGCCACCGCCCGGCCGCAGTAGTGGTAGCCGACGCCCTCCCAAATTTTAGTCGGCGAACTTTTGCCCGCGCCATCACCACTCCCATCCCGCAGCCATGGCGATCCAGAAGAAGGTGCGCAGCCACTCGCATTGCACGCGCGACACCAGCTAACATGAGCCCAGCATGGAAAAGGCCGTCTCGACAAGTGGTACAAGCTCGCCAAGGAGAAGGGCTACCGCGCGCGTGCCGCCTTCAAGTTGATCCAGCTGAACAAGAAATATAACTTTCTGGAAAAGAGCAAGGTCTTGATTGATCTTTGCGCCGCGCCCGGATCATGGTGTCAGGTCGCTTCCGAGGTGCGAATCGCCTGCGAGCAAATTCATGCGCCAAAATTGACACTGACACCTCCAGGTTATGCCCGCAAACTCCCTCATCGTCGGCGTCGATCTCGCCCCAATCAAGCCTATCCCGCGGTGCATTACCTTTCAGAGCGACATCACAACGGACAAGTGCCGAGCGACGCTGCGCCAACACCTCAAGCATCTCAAGTGCGATACGGTGCTTCACGACGGTGCCCCCAATGTCGGAACTGCGTGGGTGCAGGATGCCTTTACCCAGGCTGAGCTTGTGCTGCAATCCATGAAACTGGCAACCGAGTTTTTGGTCGAGGGCGGAACTTTTGTCACCAAGGTCTTCAGATCAAAGGACTACAACTCGCTGCTCTGGGTTTTCAACCAGCTTTTCACAAAGGTCGAAGCGACAAAGCCGCCGTCTTCCCGAAATGTATCCGCCGAAATTTTCGTCGTCTGCCGTGGCTACAAAGCCCCAAAGCATCTTGACCCCAAGTTTCTCGACGCGCGCAGTGTCTTCGCCGAGCTCGCAGATCCCACGCCTAACAACGAAGCCAAGGTTTTCAAGCCCGAAGTGAAGAAGAGGAAGCGTGAGGGTTATGAGGAAGGAGACTGGACACAATTCAAAGAGGCTCCTGTGTCTGAATTCATCCAAACTGTCGACCCCATTGCCATGCTTGGTGGCTTGAACAAACTGAGCTTCGATCAAAAGCCCAACGGCGACATTGCTGTCGCTACCATTGACAAGCTTCCAGAAACGACCAAGGAAATCAGGGAGTGCTGCGCCGATCTAAAGGTCTTGGGCCGAGCCGACTTCAAGCGCCTTCTCCGCTGGCGACTTAGAGTACGCGAAATCTTTGGCTTCGCGACAAAGAAAGCCAAGACCGAGGAAGACAAGGCCAAGGAGGCGCAGGAAGGCGACGAGGTTGCCGAGGTAGAGTCCATGGATGAAGAAATGCAAATTGAGGAAGAGCTGGAACGTCTGAAGGAAAAGGAAACAAAAGCAAAAAAGAAGCAGCGTCGCGCAGAGAACGAGCGCAGGCAAAAAGAGATTACTCGGCTGCAAATGAACATGGCTACACCGTTCGATATTGGTCTGGAACAGGTTGGTCCGACCGGCGAAGACGCCATGTTTGGCCTCAAAGCTGTTGACAAGGCCGGTGCTCTCAACAAGATCGCCAGGGGAAAGATGGCACAAATTGTGGAGAAGGAAAAGCCGGAAGAGGTCGAGGAAGAGCCTGAAACTGATGATGAGGAAGACCGGCTCGAACGAGACCTCGATGCCATGTACGGTGACTACGTTGAGCAAAGATCCGCTCGAGATGCCAAGTACCGGGCAAAACGCGCGAGGAAACAAGACGACGATGGAGAGTGGAATGGATTTTCTGACGACGACAAGGAGCAAAGCGATGACGATGAGCTTGTACAAGACGCCGACAGCGACTGGAGCAGTGATGAAGAGGATGGACCGAACGAACTAATCACCGATCTCGACCGCGAAGACCAGCCTAAACAGGGTCTCACAAAGCGTGCTGCACGCTTTTTCGATCAAGACATTTTCAAGGACATCGACGGGCTCGAGGATATGGACGAAGATGATGATAGTGGTATTGATGTCGAAGACAGTGCAGGCGTGAAGAAGGAGTCCGCTACCCCCACCCGTACATCTGAGAAGGAGTTGTCGATTCGAACAAGCAAGAAGACTGCTCCACCACTTGCAGCTTCCGATGAAGATTCATCCGATGACGATGATGACAAGATTGAAGAAGTCGCGCGCGACGAAACACAATGGGAGCAGGACTCTATGCCCATGAAGAACGGCAAGCCAGACATTGACATTATCACGGCGGAAGCCATGACACTCGCTCACCAAATGGCCACCGGCCAGAAAACAAAGTACGACCTTTTGGACGAATCATTCAACCGCTACTCTCACCGCGACGTGGACGGCCTCCCCGACTGGTTCCTCGATGACGAAAACAAGCACTCCAAGCTGCAGCGCCCAACCACGGCCGCAGCTGCCGCCGCCATCAAGGAGAAACTCCGCGCGCTCAACGCCCGGCCCATCAAAAAGGTCCGTGAAGCGCAAGCTCGCAAGAAGTTCAAGGCTGCACAGCGCTTGGAGAAGCTCAAGAAGAAGTCTGCGCTTTTGGCTGACGAGGAGGGTATGACGGAGAAGGAGAAGGCAGCGAGCATCGCGCGACTCATGTCAAGAGCGGCCAAGAAGAAGCCCAAGCAGAAGGTCAGTGTCATTGTGGCCAAGGGTGGCAACAAGGGTATCAAGAACAGACCAAAGGGTACAAAGGGTAAGTACAAGATGGTTGACGCTAGGTTGAAGAAGGATGTCAGGGGTGAAAAGCGGGCGGCGAAGAAGCAGAAAAAGCGGTAGACAGACTTTGATTTTATGAATTTTTTTTTTCGCTCCTCAGGACCAGTAGTTGCTGTTGAGGGGTCTCCCGGCACCTCGTTGTCCACGATGTCTGTATACCACTGTTGGATGGGAAAAAATGTGCTGTTTTATTGCGCGATGAGGAAGTTCAACGCGTGCCCTACAAGTGAATAGACTTTTTCCCAGCACGTATGCAAACAAGCACCAGCGTACTGTGATGTGAAGGATGGACATGATTCAGCCCACGACTTGACCTAATTGGAAATTCAGCATGAAACTCAAAACTAGCAGGACGATAGTTGAGCAAGAGCAAGAATAAAAGCTCGGCTGCAAGTCGCATGCCAGCTATCTGCTCATCCAAACCGCGCTTAGACTAACGGGAGAATATTTTCTCCGATCTGTACGTAGATACAACTCCTCTAGTAGACAGTTGCTAGCTGTCCATAAAGTACGACACTGTTTCATCTGGTAGTTATCTAGCACTCTTGGGTTCAGACCCTTCTACAAGACCTTTTAATTTGTCGCGGCAGTGTAGATTTTTGAGAGACTTAGTAAGCTAGAAGGCAAATGACAAGAGCAAAGGGTAATACCGCAGCCAAGAAAGTTCAATCTATATTATGTTCATTGATCTATGTTGCAAACTTCTACCCATCAGATCCACTAGTACCAGAGCCTCTATTCTACAACGAATACTCCTCATGAAGTTTGGGTAGCATGGTATTCGCCTGGATAATAAGAGTTCCATCACCAGCTTAATCTTATTGTCACACTACAACTCAACCTGGAAGTACCAGGTCCCGTCAAGACGCGGTAGATGTAGCGATCTTGGCTGTAAGAACTAATCTAACAAGACTAGGGTGTGAATCTAGTCTAATGAGAATCAGTCTTTACATTCCCATAGCTTGCTGATGAAATAGCTCTCTCAGCCCGACGTGATCGCGTTTGGCAACGTGGTACGCAACTACCCGTTCCATAAGCTTCCTAACCACTGGCTCTGTCTTAGTTGGTGACTAGCAGAGTGATGAAAATCGCTCCCTTGCTTAGTCGGTCTGTCACCACTATCAGGTTCGTTATATCTTTGCTTTCAGGCAATCCTTCTTCAAAGTCTATGGAGATCTCCTTCCAGACCCTAGCGGGTAGTGGGAGAGGTTTCAATAGTCCTTGTCTCTCTTCTCACTATCGCTTACTCGTGCCGCACAAGTCGCAGTTCCTGACCTACCTTCAGATGTAATTCGCCGTTTCTAGCTAGAGATAGTATCTCTTGCGAGTATCTTTTACGTCACCTCTCTCCCTGCGCACCATGTGACAAGAAATTCGTTGGTCTCTCGGATGATCTGGGCGCGCATCGGCCCGCTGTACGGCATGTTGTACAGCCTCGTATTTAAACAAGACGAGACTATCAATAGCCTCTACAGAGGATCCAGTTGCAAACATGATATGCTTGACTGTAGAGTTCTGCAGGAAATTTACCGAGTGTCACAAGCATACGAAAAACGGTTAGTTAGGGCTGTAACTAGGCATGTATGTTAGTATAGCTTTAATTGTAACAAACGGTAGACTCTAAAGTGCGGGCATCGGGCCATATGGATAAATTTGGGACTAAGTAAGTCAAACTCTTCGCGTCGTATCTACAAGGACCCAGATACCGCGTTTGTATTGGAGTTCTGCGTATACATGTGTTCGACTGTAAACGGGCTACGAGCTGGTACTTCTGCAGTAACGCTTGCACAACAGACCCTTCGTTCCTGTATTAAGAACCTCTGTTTTACGAAATGCACCGCTGCTTTTCGCTCTGTTTTGGAAGCGGGGCCCAAATCGGGTTAGTGAAACAGAGCTGGAGATGAACAGAACAGGCCTTGACTCCACCCGTGTATGGAAGCTGCACTTCTATGCAGAAGAGCTTGATTACGTATGATAAGCCATGCATACATAGGGTGGCAAATGGGTAAGGGTTATTATTTTGTGAAACCAAACTCCTACCGAGGTAAGTTCAATCACCCTTCCCATAGGTATAGCAAGAACACACGTTACATGGTATTATCACAATTCAGGCTCTTTTGTAGCGCTTAGCATAACATTTGTTTTCTCTCCAAAAGCCATGTAATAGGCTAGAGCATTATGCACAGAAAGACAGTGGCTCGCTATGCACATTGTATTCGGTGTTTCACGGAAGTTAGTGCTTCCACTGTACAGGAGACCAAGTCGATTCATCTCGGTGAATAGGCATATTCTGTCTACTATAACCTGACTACAGATGCATATATCGAATGTAAGCACCCTATCCAGAAATCGGTATAATCGAACCAATCAAATATTCGGGTGTGTATAACAGAGTTTGGAAATGACATCAGATTGCGCCTGTCCAGTTATGGTTCTTACTCCAAAACCCCCCGACCGGGGTGGCGTTCAGAGTAGCCGACAATATGATCACGAACATGTTCATGTTAGCAGATCGGTGAAATAATTCTTTGCTGTTAACACATATATAAGTCGTAGTTTCTACCTCCAGAAATCGACATTCCAATCTTAACAACACAAGCATCCAATTCCAGCATCTAAACATCAAAACTTCTACTTCTTAACACCTTAACTCCTAAGACAATCAAAATGCAGCGTGAGTTCCTTGTTCCTGTTTTACCGCTTCCTCTTCTCACAGGCTGATATAAAATCTACCTCAGTGTACTCCATCCTCATCGCTCTTACCTCCGTTGCTGGTCTCGCCGCTGCGATGCCTGCTGAGGGTTTACAAACTCGTGCCATCTCCGTGGAACAGGCTGCTAAAGTCATTGCTGCCGTTCAGAAAAGACAGAGTGGTGGTTGTGTGGTATGTCTCGGGGCTTGTGGAGCGTCCGGTACTCTAGCTGGGTGTGGACAATGCTGTGGCCTTTGCGACAACGACCCAAACATTGGTTGCTAAGGGCATTTATGGTCAATCCTTCCCTTAGAAAAATCAGAATGGGATTAGCTTGGTATTCAAGATGGCATTTTGCGCGTTCTGATAATCCAACATTATCATCAGGTTTACGGATTATCATTGTCTTGCTTGTTGAATGAATCAAATTCGAACACATCAATTAGGTGAAATTTCTGACCAATGTGACAAGGCCTCTATCCATAAATTGTATAACTACATATTATTCCTTGGTGGTATACCTTCCGCACTAAAGTTCACTATTGTATGACACTGCCTGGAGTCGCTAAGACAACCCCATCATCTTTCAAACGTTCTCTAGTGTTTACTTAAAATCATTCATCTTTGCCAATATGAATTATGCATATTACTACCTCCTTGTCCATCTAAGATACATATAAAACCTCACCGCTGTCATATATTGTGTAGCATGACTACTACTTGAATTTTTGCGAGTTAACTGGGATAAGGGAAAATTGATGATTCTAATATCATGTATGCTACGTATGATCTTGTTGCAATCCTGTGGAGTTTCTTCAAGATAGATTGATGTTCCCATGGTGTCGTGGTCGTGAACATACGCCTATCCCACAGGAGGCCTACTACGTAACAAACAAAACAAAATTCAATCCTAAGCAACTAGCGAGCGATAGCGAATTTCCCAAGATATTGAAACAGCACGTGCCAGACATCAGTAGATACGTCTATTAGATAGCGCCGCGTGCAGTACAGCCGACGTTGTGATGACGCAGAAGATCTCGAGCAGCAGCGGAGTCGTCTGCACCACTCATGTCCTTCATATTACCAATGCCGTTGCTATGAGAGACGAGTGACGTACACCAAAGCGAGAGCACCGCGGAGCACTTTGATATCTTGGCGTTACCCTGCCCATCTACTCGACTTCATTATACCAACTTAGCCCCGAGGCAGATTGAGGTCTTGCACATGCCAATTCACTATACACCGGCTAATCCTGATGCGTGCAGCCAGCGATATTAATTTCGACACATGTCTGGGTTCTGTACAGAGTCGCGGAGTCTGTGGTTGAGGTACTTAGCGATGGTGACGTCCTAGTGATGCTGTCCAATAAGCATCTCGCTAATTCGGGCATAAGCCGGTTCACGACCAGCCTCCATCGCAAACAGTGGCATCGGCGCACAGACACGGCGTTTGCCTCCTTGCCAATGAGAAGAGTGGTGAAAGGCCAAGTGTAAAACATGTTGCGATGCAATGACGCACAAGTAGACAACGCTGCCTCGCCGAATAAAGGCGCCAATGGCGAGGCCAACAGTCTCTCTCACCTTGCTTGCAACAACGCGTATTAAAACCCCCCATCTACTTGCCCTTGCTTTGAACCTTTCTTTCCCCTCTCCAGCATGTCCATTCCCCGTCTCTTTGCCTCTTCCATCACCAGAGCTGCCTCCAGGCCCCACATCACTCGCGTGGTAGTAAACAACAACAAGTTCGCAACAGGCCGTATCCGCATTGCAGCCATGTCGACCATTTCAGAAGTCATTACCAAGGACCATCGTGAGCTCGAGCAGTACTACAACGAGGTCATCAACTCGGACGATGTCGATCACCAGACCCGCTTCGGCAACCAGTTCACCTGGGAGCTTGCCCGCCACTCGGTAGCCGAAGAGCTGCTTGTCTACCCTGCTATGGAGAAGTATGTCGGCAAGGAGGGCCACGAGCACGCTGAGAAGGACCGCAAGCAACATCACCAGGTAAGATGACTCGGCCCTACCATCATGCGGAGCCAGGCTAACCCGCACGCAGGTCAAAGAGTTCCTCAAGGAATTCCAAAACATGAAAGCCACCGACTCCAACTACGTGCCCAAGCTCAAGGAGCTCTGGACCTTCCTAGGCGAGCACATCAAGGAGGAGGAGAGGGATGATCTGCCTATCCTCGAGAAGGCGCTGTCTTCGCCTGAGAACAAGGGCGCGTCAGAGAGCTTGGCCAAGAACTTTGGACGCACAAAGATGCTGGTACCGTCGAGGAGTCATCCCAGCGCCGGCGAGAACCCGCTCTTCGAGGGCCCAATGGGCATGCTGGCTGCGCCCATCGATCACATTGCTGATATCTTCCGCAAGTTCCCCGAGGGCACCATCAATCCTAACCCCTCCACAAAGTAAATCGTTGATCGATGCGGAGTTGTGGCGAAGCTTATGACACCTGAAACGGTAATTCAGATAGCTTATTATAGCATGAAACTACTACAAAAGTAATGACACATGAAAATACATTGCCATTGTCTATCAAGCCGTGACGTCGCGCTAATTCCACTCTTACCACCAAAGGCCGCGAGTTCCTTTTTCTTTTTTTGCCCAGCCTAATTACACCTTAACGTATGAATTCATTTCATTTCAAGATGCGCTAATCTTTCAACCTCGTGTATCAAAATACCCAAGGAAACTACAAACGCAATAGGAACATGAAAAATAGTTGCTATGAATTCAACTTCAACCCTCCTCTAGTCTCCTCAACAACCCCCTCATCTTGGCCAGCAGATCTGGTACCCTGAACGGCTTCCCAATCACATCGTCCATGCCCGACTGCCTCGCCTCGTCAATCTGGGCCCCACGAATATTCGCCGTAACAGCGATAATCGGAACATGCCCCGTTATCTGCCCGTGCCGCTCCATCTCCCGTATTCGCTTGCAACACGTCAAGCCGTCCATTTCCGGCATCTCGCAGTCCATGAGGATAATGGTGAGGGGTGTGCCGTTGGCGACGCAGAACCGCGTGTTGGCGAGGTGCTTCAAGGCGTGCACGCCGTTATCGGCTGTGCTTACGATGCAGCCTGCTTTCTTGAGCTGTTTGCAGAGTAGCCTCTGATTCAGGAGGTTATCTTCTACAATGAGAACGTGGAGGGTTTTTTCTTTGGAGTTCTGCTGGTTAGATGCCTGGATGGAATGTGATATTGACGTCGACTTCAGACGTTGGTGACCCGCTTTAGGTGATGTTCTTAGTGCTTTGCGTGGGGAAACTGTGTATTCCGCTTCCAATGGCTTTTGGGTTGCGTCTTCAGGTAGACGGACATCCTGCGGCATCATGCGTTTGCATTTCAAATAGATACCAAAGGTACTGCCGACGCCGGCCTCCGAGGAACATCCAACCTGTCCTCCGTGGAGCTCAGCAAGCCGGCGTGCGATGAAGAGCCCAAGACCGCTGCCACCATATTTGCAATGTGTACGTGGTGACGCCTGAGCAAACTTCTCAAACAATAGTGTTTTCTGCTCTGGTGTAAGGCCACAACCAGTATCCTGGACTTGGAATAGAAGAAAAAGCGGCTCGCCCGAGCCCCAGTCTTCTCCGTTGCCAAAATCCTTGACCTTGATTCTCGGGGGGACGAAATCAAACCCTTTGGCTGGATCAAAGTCCGGTTTGTTGGCGCGCGCAGAAACATGGACCGTGATGATGCGTACACGACGATCGTGGGTAAACTTGATCGCATTGGTGATGAGGTTGACAATAATCTGCATCAGTCGGCCAGAATCAAGCAGCACCCAGTCAATGTCTAGCTCGCGCAGACTTGGGTGCGGTTCAAATTTAAAGTCGATATCTTTGGCCTCAGCTTCTGGACGGAACCTAAATATGAAAACACTGAATGAGTACACGTATAGCAACAACAGGAAGCGGACCTTACTGACATGGCCATAGAACGTTGAACGAGAACAATAGGTTGCGAAGGAATCGGACTCATGCGCAAAAGATTCGAGTCGAGTTTTGATACCGTGAGAATGTCGTCGACAATGGACTTTTGATGCTGAACACAAAGCGCAATGTTTTTCGCAGCTTCAATGCAATCATTGGCCATGTCTCGGTCTTCGTCGCAGGAGAACGGGTGGAGCGCCAAAGTGTCTCGGATATCGTCTGCGCAAATGAGAATTGCAGAGAGTGGATTTCGCATTTCATGCGACGTCATGTCGATGAATTCATTCTGTTGACGCTTGGCCTCTTCTGCTTCTCGTAGCCGTCGCTCTTGGAGGCCCTGGGCCCATTTGAGATGCGAGATGTCTGTAATTGAGCCCATGACGCTTATAAGCCTGCCATCTGCACTCAATTCTGGCTGGCTGGATTTGAGAACCCAATAATCAATAGGCTCGCCGTCAATGTCCTTAATATGGGACCTGGATTTTATAAACTGAAGTTCACAACTGGCTGGTTTGTGCGTCGTCGCAATCTCTAAGTGTACATTTCGTTAGTATTCTTGGTAAGAGAAACAAGTATAAGTATGAGCATCGCTTACTTGTCCACAGTTCACGGCAAGCCTTTCTGCTTGGTTCAACCAACAGATCGTCAGACCAGACCTTGCCAAGGTCTTTGTGAGAATGTCCAGTCATTTCAAAATAACGTTCATTCGCCTCCAACAGACGTCCTTCTGGATCAAACAAGAACATGCCCAAAGGCGAGAACTCGGTCATCTTGCGCATGCGACTGGTCTGCAGCTGGAGCTGTTGAGACAGCAACTCTCGCTGCAGGGTAGCCACCTCGGCCGCATGTTTGCTCAGCCGTACCTCGTCTTCAAAGAGAAGCACCGATGCTAAAGAAGTGGAAATCTGTCTGTTGAGCATCTCCGTAAAAGTCTTGTACTCCTGGTCGTAAGCCCTGCGAGGATTGATGCCAAGTAGCAATAAGGCGCAAACGTTGTCTGAGTTTGTCGGACAGAGAGGTAGTATCACCGCCTCTGTGCTGAGATCCCTGTATCCTCTCCATTCAACACTCTCTAGTAATGACTTTGGAAGGTTTCCTTTCTTTACATTCAATATTTTGGGCTCTAGTGTTTGGATAGCTTCTAGGCAGGCTGAGACCAAAACATTATCGCTCTCCTCCAGGACAAACTTGTCAGGGCAGACCTCACGGCCTCTTGGAATTCCAATAGATCCTTCAATGATGCAACTCTTCGTAGATTCCGGGCCAGCGGTAGGCGATTTCGAAGAACTCTGTTCGGGGTCGTCGTTGTCCACGATTGAATATAAAAGCGCAAAAGGTATATCGTAGTCGTTGTGGCTTAGACCCTCTAGAACTCTACCCCAGAATTCCTTGACGGTGCGTGTTGCGTTCAAACGCTCGCCTAGATAGCGTAACAACTCCATTCTTCTGCTGCTGATGGATTCAACAGTCGTATCAAATGCGTTCATGTAGACTGAAACCCAAATATCGATTAGCCAAGCTCTGGTGCCATGAAAATATGGATGTTGATACGGAGGTGTTTGGACATCTGCGATGTTCGAGCATTCCACGTCGCTCTTATAACATGTAGCTGACATGATTTGGATTGCGGTGGGTTCTTTCATAGCAACTTACAACCAAGAATGCGCTCAGTGCCGCCAAAGACCGGAACCTGCTGTCATGTGAGTGTTGCATGGCCGGGATGAGGGCATGACTGCTCACAAAAGACCAAGTAAAAAAAGCTTCCTCCAGATAACCGTACCGCAGGATTGGTAACAGTTGGTTGATCTTGAGCTGAGACTGACCGGTACGAGCGCATTCACGGACTGTAGGGCCCGTTGTACCCCACATCTCGCGGAAGGGACCGGTAAACCCAGTACCCATCAGAGCAGGGTGCTTGTCACCCGCGACATCATCTCTGTAAGCTTCATTGTAGAGCATAGTCATATCCTCGCCCCAAAAGACAGAGGATGGGTGAGGGTTACGCATGACCAAGCAAACAATCTCCCGGAACTGCATTGACCAAGTGTTCATAGCGCCCAACGGTGTCTTGGACCAATCGATACTTCGTACAAACTTAAGATGATCCGAAAGAATGCCTTTTGGATGCGGGACAGTCCAATCAGGTATGGCACCGTCGGGCGTCGTCAGGGTTACGGCTGACACAGTTGGCCTGTAACTCTTTTCTTGGTCCGGGCCGATAGTCATATCAGAAGATTTAGGCTGCTGGACATCTCCAATGATTTGCCGGGTCGGAATGGCCTCTGCGGAAGCCAAAGCCTTTTTTTCATCCTTTGTTGGAGCTCCAAGGCTTTTCTGTTGGGGCCGTGGTGCGGGTGCGGACAACGATTCTCTCTCTTGGGCATCGTTACGGAAGATTGCATGGCCAGTGATCAGTCTCCAATGAGGGCGGATGCAGAAATCCGACCATATAAAGCCCGCAAACTCAATCGTCAAGGGAGAGATGTCTCTAGAGTCTTGGAAGTTATTGGTCCTCGTTGCCCAGGTTCGGAACTCTCTATACGTTGCGCCGCCGTGGCTTTTTTCAAGGTCATGTGATATAGCGCCAGTGATCTGGCTCAGCAATTGGTCCTGCTTCCTCAACGCAAAGTTACAAAACATAGGCTTAACCGGGTGCTCAGCTCCGCTAGGGTCATTGTGGATATCCAGTATAAATATCGGCCTGGTGTCCGCCTCCAATAATTGTGGGAGAGTTGAAGTGTTGAGACGATGGAGGGCGACATCTTGCAGCTCTTCCTTCGAATGAACAGAAAGAGCTACTTCAGGGGGCTTCGCCGGGGCTGGGCTACTCATCGAGGCTGCGCTCTAGGGTTTCTCGCCTTGTGTTACGGTATGTCGAGATGCATTGACAATAGGGCCGGAGTGCGAGTGTAGACAAGTCGCATAACGCGAGCCGTGTGATTGTGCGATACAGGTGTGCAGATGTAAGAATGAGGCCGAGACTCATGACTGGTCGCGACAGGCCGTGAGACGGGCAGACGTGGCAGGTGCCTCGGGGGTACCCCGGAGAGAACGAGCAGAGGCATCGCAGCTTACAACACTCTTGGAAAACGACATTGTCCGGACTGGGATGAACGTGAAAACCTCAATCATGCTGCTAGTTTATCAGTGCAACCGCAGCAATCAAGGATTTTGTTTTTCATACGTGTTATTGACACTGGGTGAAGCAATTTACAGCATCTCGAGCAGCTGCGTACCTGCTTCTGGCGCTAGGTAATCACGTCCATATCTATGCTCGCAATCTCAAGAAATATATGTATATTTGGCTCTGCGCTAGGCTAGATGAGGGTACCAGATTACGGACAGTGTAAGTGGAAGCGCCATACATCACGTGTTTGGAATATTACTGCGACCGTCCAACAGCTCTCACCCTGATATCTTGAGATTTACAGATGCCCTCTTTAGTGCCATAAACAGCTACTCGTCTATACTTGACGCCGTCAATTACTCTCTGAGAACTGCAAAGCGCTCTATACCCAGGCTTTCTTATCGCGTGATGCCTTTGTGGTTCTGACTCTCTAATTCCATCAAGAAACAACAGTGTGTCCGCGTACGAAGAAAAGAATATCACCATCAGCGAAACTTTCGCATTGTAGGTCGATACCCGATATCGAATAACAGAGAGAATGACACTGAGGACAAAGGCCCTACAGTTGCAAATTTGATGAGAAGAGAAGAGCTGTGGAGGAGCCGAGTTTTATAAGAAAAAAAACCCCTCCGCCCTAAACTAGCGTAGAATAGCACACATAGATGCAGTTATGTAGCAACAGTTTCTCAGAGTAGCTCTAGGTCTAGTTGAATAGACTGTTTGAGCCTCAAAAAGCTCTATATCACTAAATCACATGACAACACCGGAGGGTCGCGGATGTTTCAACACCGCATGACTCGAGTTCATGGGGAACGCCATTCCGCCTTATTCGGTCCTCGTCTCGCAGGGACAGGGATGTCATACTTGCTAACTGCATGTAATTCGATTTCCCCGCATAAAGTCAAACTCAATTTTCATATTCGCACACCCTGTGAAGACTAAAACGACATCTTGATTACTATTCCGTACACAAGAAATACCTGCGACTACCGACATTGTGCCACCACCCTGGTGTCCACGCAAGGACTGCAGTCTGTATTGTACTTGTGAAGGATCGTTCCCTAGTCGTTTCATTGATCTGGGACCAACGTTGTATACGCGAGTTCGCAACACAACACAACTAACCTTTCTCGGCTTAATGTGTGCTTGTGCTTGACGAGCCAGGAGCGTCACGGACAAGACTATCTCCGGACATTCTCTCAAGCGGACCGGACATAGTGTGCCAAGGCCGGATACACGAATCGCCTACAGATAGTCATTGTGTTTTTTCCAGGTCCTTGTTACTTATAGGAGTCGGTACCTACCTGCCTATACGTAGCAACAACACCAAGAAGGAAAAACGAGCCAGCAGAACACCCCCTGGAATCCGGAATATGCAAGTGTCCAGGCAACAGCAAGGTGTGACCTCTAAATAGTTTCACGAGAAATGGCATGCGAAGAACGGATACCCGAAACACATTGTTGAGAGTCAATACGGGTGCGTAGATACGAACGTGCATGACCGAGGAATCCAACCTTCATACCCGCCCCCCCCACGCTCATGCACCAAACAATCGCAATGCGTAATCACACGCATAGTGATACAGTACCACTACGCCTCTTCCAGACACGCACAAGGGGCTTTTACTGGTTCATTCTTGCTACCCCAGATGCCAATACCTTGGTACGAAGGCAGCCCCCGCAACGTAGTAGTCAGTTTAGCCATGTCGAGTCGACACTGGCCTGCAACCGGGGCATGTCCATAGCCGCCGGCATTCCGTCCAGCCATGCGTCAACACTTACTCATACGACTATTTAAAAACATCCATCTTGAAGTAAGCACTCTCCTATTATCTGAATGCAATAAGGCGGCCCCGCAAATCGATATGTAAGTAAGCTGCATAGTACGGGGTAGCTAATATCTGCAAACATGTGAGCGAGAGAGTGCTAATGCCCACACAACAGATACGGCGTGCGAGACAGAGAAAAGAGTTTTTAGCACGGCAAATGCAAAAGCTGGCTTCTTCTCTGCAGCCAAAGCCTACCGCCATATCGGAACCATCGTTTGCCATACTTATTTCTGTTTTCCTGATTTCAGTCGCATACCACGTATCCTGATTAGAAACATCGCGACAAATAGCCCACCATGGTTATCAAATCGCGCTTCACGATACCTGTCCCGCAGGTCTCGATACCAACATATGTTTTGGAATCGCCTACGGTAGACCTGCCCAAGACACCCCTCATCATGTCCGCCAGCAACCCAGACAAGCACTTTCTTTCCATGCACGAATATCGGCTACTTTCGCAACGGCTTGCTTCTGGAATACGCCGCGCCGGGCTGCAGCCTGGAGATCGCGTCCTGCTGTTCTCGTCGAACAGCGTCTTCTTCCCAGTTGTTTTCATGGGCACAATCATGGCGGAAGGCATATTCACAGGAGCCAATCCCAGCTACGTGGTCCGAGAACTGGCGTAGCAGCTAAAGGACAGTGAACCACGGTTTCTGATTTGCGCAGAAGGCAGCTTGGACATTGGCGTTGCAGCAGCAAAGGAAGCTGGACTGAGGGCAGACCAAGTCTTCGTTTTTGACGACGGAGTCGCCACCTTTGAGGGCCGCAAGGTAGAAAAGGACACCGAGTTGGGCCATCTCCGCCACTGGACTGATCTCCTCGACACGCCAGAAAACGGCGCGGCATACGTTTGGCCAGATCTTCAGACTCCCGAAGAACTGGATCGCGTGGTAGCGCTCAACTACTCGTCTGGCACCACGGGCTTTGCAAAGGGCGTAATGATTACACATAGAAATTATGTCTCAAACGCCTGTCAGAGTCTCTGCTTTTCAAAGAACCTCGATGGTTCGCTGAAGCGCAGGTTGCAAATTGCCTTGCTCCCCATGTACCACGCCGCGGCACAATCAACTTACTGCATAAGCTCGGTGAAGAGTCGCTCTTCCATCTACATAATGCCCAAGTTTGACTTCCTGAAGATGCTGGAATACGTACAAAAATATCGCATCAGGGACCTGAATCTCGCGCCACCGATTGTGGTAGCCATGGCAAAGCACCCGGCAACCAAGAAGTATGATCTAAGCTCCGTGGAAAACGTAACTTGCGGTGCTGCTCCCCTTGGCAGAGAGATCATGGCAGAATTCGAACGCCTCTGGCCAAGTGGAAATGTCAGGCTTACGAATGCCTGGGGCATGACGGAAATCACGTGCACTGGTACCCTGTGGGATCCCGCAATCGCCTATCATAATGCTTCGGTAGGAGAACTCGTGCCAAACTGCGAGGCAAAGATTGTCTTGGACGACAAAGGCAAGGTTGAATCGCCTCAAGGCGAAAGGGGGGAAATTTGGCTCCGCGGCCCGAATGTCATGAAGGGGTACTGGAAGAAGCCCGACGCGACAAAGGAGACGAAGACGGAAGACGGGTGGTTGAAGACGGGAGACATAGCATATGCAGACGCCAATAACCACATTTACATTGTGGACAGAAAGAAGGAGCTGATCAAGGTCAAGGGACTGCAAGTTGCGCCAGCAGAGCTGGAAGCCCTATTGCTGGAGCACCCCGACATACAGGATGCTGCTGTCATTGGAGTCACCGTGTAAGTTCAACATTGCCCTGAGCGAATATCTGCTAATCATGGTCAGCGATGGTGGCGAGGTGCCGCGTGCCTACATCTCGCTGCAAGCTAGCGGCAAGGCCACACCAGAGACTGCGGAGATTATCAAAACATGGCTTGCTGAGCGTGTGGTAAAATACAAGCGGCTAGAAGGTGGCGTGCGATTTGTCGATGCGATACCCAAGAATCCTTCGGGAAAGATTCTGAGAAAGGAGCTGAGAGAAAAGGCTGCCCAGGAAGATACCAAGGCGAGGCTGTAAACTGTTTATGCTAGATATCAATGTCTCTTTGAATGCAGAAGCGCTAAGTCCCAAGATGGCATGGTTGCAGTGCTGTTGTGTGTGCGCAGACCTGGGATAGGTCGGTCGTCGGGCGTGAAACGGCACTGACATGTTGCCGTGTGCCCAAACTATTGTATCATGTCTGGTAGCCTCTAGGCATCTCTGGTGAAATTGCATGCGTTTTGCTGCTTCGGTATATACATGCAGCGGTGTCCGCTCATGACAGTCATTCCCGCCCTCTACCGTCATCAGTCGACGCTCTAGTTGCTTCGCTCTCCGGCCTTTGCTGCCCTCAGCTCGTCCATCTTCTTGACGCGCTCCTTGAACTCCTCGTACTGGCACTTTTCGTATGAATGTCGCTCGTTCTAGCCATGTGGTCAGTCGGCCTGTCTGTATTCGCCCCGCGTCTGTGGGAAATTGGCGTCTGCGCACCTCGCACTTCCACGGCAGATAGTACTCCTCGTACCGACACCGGTTCAAGGGGATCAGGAGATGTGCGCATGAGTCTCGGTAGGGGAGCGGCAGCTTGGCGGCGCTCATCTCCTCGCGGGTAGCCTCTGCACAATGGGCTGTCAGTGTGTGGCCGTCCATGGCCAATTGTGTGGGTGGGTGTCGAGACATGGCAGCACTCACTCCGCGGCTCGCCGCCGAGACCGACGGCATGCTTGATCGAGTCTTTCAGCGTCATGGTGGCGGGCCAGAGGCGTCTTCGTCTTCAATGGCGCGCGGAGGGGTGGAGGGGTGGAGGGTGGGCGGGAGCGACGTTGGCCGGCGAGCTTGCTGAGGTTCACTGCGGTCGGCAAAGGGAAGCTGCCACCGGCCGACCCCAATGCTTGGCAGGGCAGGCGCGACCGCGGCCCTTGCCAACGCGACTTTCCCCCCAGGTCTGACGCGAACCGCAGACACGCCTTCACGAAATCACTTGACACGCCTGCGAGACGCCACCTGTGCCTCATTGAATGGTGAAAATGCCCCCGGCGCCAGATGGCAAGATCTATTCGGCGACATACAGTAATGTGCGTTGCGACCGGCCGCTGCCAGGCCGCTCAAGGTCCCCTCAGCGCTGCCATGCACCATGCTATGCCCACCCACCCGTCGGCCACCACCTGCTGACACCCGCCTCAGGTCCCCGTCTACGAGTGCAATGTCAACGGCAACCATGTCATGCGCCGCCGTGCCGACGACTGGATCAACGCTACGCACATCCTCAAGGTAGCCGACTATGACAAGCCGGCGCGAACCCGCATCCTCGAGCGCGAGGTGCAAAAGGGCGTGCACGAGAAGGTCCAGGGTGGCTATGGCAAATACCAGGGCACATGGATACCGCTCGAAGAGGGGCGCGGTCTGGCTGAGCGAAACGGCGTGCTGGAGAAAATGCGAGCCATATTCGATTACGTCCCCGGTGACAAGAGCCCGCCCCCAGCGCCCAAGCATGCCACGGCTGCCTCGAATCGCATGAAGCCGCCAAAGCAGACGGCCGCGGCAAGTCGCAATGGTAATTACGTCTACCCGCTCGAACACATGCCGTCTTCTTGTCGGCGCTGTTCATGCGAGCGTGTGAAAGCAAGAAAGAGTTGGGGCTAATGTGTCGTGCAGCAGCCTTTGTCGCCAATTCGCAGTCGCAAGTGAGCGAAGACCCGTATGAAGCCTCGCAGGTCCGGTCGCAGATTTTCCGCGAGGAAACCCCGGACAACGAGACTGTCATTTCAGAGTCGATGCTGGGAGACGCCGACCTCATAGACATGTCGCAATACTCGGCCGACGGGAACAGGAAGCGCAAAAGGGGCATGGACCAGATGTCTCTGCTCGACCAGCAGCATCAAATATGGGCAGATCAACTACTGGATTACTTCATGCTGCTCGACCACGAAGCAGCCGTCTCATGGCCCGAACCACCCCCGAGCATAAACCTGGACCGGCCGATTGACGAAAAGGGCCACGCCGCCATGCACTGGGCAGCGGCCATGGGTGATGTCGGTGTGGTCAAGGAGCTGATACATCGAGGAGCACGCTTGGACTGTCTCTCGAATAACCTGGAGACGCCCCTGATGCGCGCCGTCATGTTTACCAACAACTTTGACAAGGAGACGATGCCGAGCATGGTCAAGATCTTCCAGCAAACGGTGCACAGGACAGACTGGTTTGGCAGCACCGTATTCCATCACATTGCAGCGACGACGAGCAGCTCGAACAAGTACGTATGCGCAAGATGGTATCTCGACTGCATCATCAACAAGCTCTCGGAAACATGGATACCGGAAGAAGTCACGAGGCTGCTGAATGCGGCGGACCAGAATGGCGACACAGCCATTATGATTGCTGCGCGAAACGGCGCCAGGAAGTGTGTGCGAAGCCTGCTGGGACGTAACGTTGCCGTGGACATTCCAAACAAGAAGGGCGAGACTGCCGACGACCTGATCCGGGAGCTCAATCAAAGACGGAGGATGCACAGTCGAGCACGCCAAGCTTCATCGTCACCGTTTGCACCACCGCCGGAGCACCGAATCAATGGGCACGTCCCACATTTGGATGGTGGGCCCCTGATGCCAGTGCCCTTCCCCAGCATGGCGGTGCGAGAACCAATGCAGTATCGGTCACAGACTGCTTCGCATTTGATGACCAAGGTAGCGCCAACGCTGCTCGAGAAGTGCGAAGAACTGGCTGCGGCATACGAGGCCGAACTTCAGGAGAAGGAGGCCGAGTTTTTTGACGCAGAACGCGTAGTCAAGCGACGGCAAGCCGAGCTCGAGGCTGTGCGGAAACAAGTGGCCGAACTCCAAGGCACGTCGAACGGACTGCATATTGACCTCAACGACGACGAAGCAGACCGGCAGCAAGAAGAGGAGCTACGGCTGCTGGTAGAAGAAGCAGAGTCGCTCTTGGAAATTGAGCAAAAGGCTGAGCTGCGTCGACTGTGCAGTAGCATGCCGCAGCAAAACAGCGACACGTCACCGGTGGACATTACAGAGAAGATGCGGCTTGCGTTGCTGTTACACAGGGCACAGCTTGAGCGGAGAGAGCTGGTGCGAGAAGTGGTGGGCAACTTGAGCGTGGCAGGCATGAGCGAGAAGCAGGGCACGTATAAGAAGCTGATTGCAAAAGCACTGGGTGAACGGGAAGAGGACGTGGAGAGCATGCTGCCCGAGATCCTGCAGGAGCTGGAAGAGGCAGAGACGCAGGAGCGGGCAGAGGGACTGGACGGGAGCCCAGTGTGATTTGGTAGTGTTTTGGCCCAGTATTTCTTCGACGTATTGATTCCCCCGATGCTTTTCTTTTTTAGTTTTCCTTGGTTGGGGAGCCTGGGTCTGGGTCTGGGTCTGGGTCTGGGTTTAGGGAGGGTAACGAGTGTTTATGACCAAGATAACAAAAGCCTTGATGTCTCGGTCTTGATGGATGCGTGGGATGTGTGCGAGTTGGGCTCGTGTGCTTTCACATGTGCCCAAGCAAGCCAGTCACTTGACGATGCACGCAGGCTTCGAGGCCGGGTCATCTGAAAGAGGGTGACGCGGTACCAGGCCGATGCAGCTGGGTTGTGATTCGACTATGCATGCGGCTAAGATATGGCTAAGGTATGACGTGATTGCGGCGCGAGGTCATGTTGGCCAGCCGAGAGAAGCGAGTCAACGCAGCAAAGGAGACGCTCGTAAAGGATTGCTATGAGTAACAGGATGGCTGGATGCAGGCGGGCAGGACTTGGCTGAGACGGGGAGATTTGGGCGATGGGGCAAGCCGCGTAGGCTGGAGAGGTTATCCTGGCCGCGATTGGGCCCTGGGGGCTGCGTGCGAGTTAGGAGGGCGGAGTTCGCACGGAGGTTACGGCAGGCAGGGGGCTTGGCTCGCTCTGCCGCCGCCGCCGCCGCCAACCTGAAGCCATGGACAGAGAATCCGCCCTCAGCAATTCCTCTGCCCACGCACGCCCCCCAGACACCCCCAAGAATAGACGCTTATTCCGCACGCCTGCGCGCCATACCCAGGCCATCCCGCCGCACCGTCTGACCCCACGCCCACGCACACGCAGCCCCCGGGCCCACCCGTCATCACCTGCCACTGGGCGCCGTCACTCGTTTCCCCCCCAGCCAATTGCCTTGTATGCCTGAGTCGATTCCTTTAAAGACGAAGCCTCCGCCGCACTCTCGCCCCCTCGCACACACCCTCTCCGACGACTTCAGCCTCGACAGCACCAGCGCCAGCGCCTCGCCCGTCCTTGTTTCAGGCTCCAGCTCGCGCCAGCTGTCTCGCTCACGCTCCTCGTCCCGGCAGTACCGCACGCCCAACGGCAAAGGCGCTTCCCGCTCAAGAGGCCCTGCCAGTCCGCGCCATTCGGGGCTCGATTTCGACGACTGGGATGAGCACGACGCGGCCATGCCGTCAGATCTTCGACCTTCAATCGACCGCGGGAGAGACGGGCGCGCAAGTGCGCCGTTGCTAGGCCGTAAGACGGAGGATGACACGGTGGACGAGGGCCTGCTGGGAAGGAGCACACATCACTTCCACGAACGAGACCCAGAGACGCAGGCCAAGCTCGAGACGAGAAGAAAGTACACCTACGCCGCTTTCCTGCTCGCGCTGAGCCTGATCAGCTTCACCGTGCAGACGGAGACGGCCGTCTACATCCAGCACCAGCTGAAGTGGGAGAAGCCATACTGCATGCTGTACATGACGCATGGCTCGTGGGTCGTGCTGTGGCCTTCCACTGTTATCATTCTACGCCTGCAGCACTGGAGCGAGCCGTGGTCGACCTTTTGGCGCAGACATGTCCAGATCCTGCGCCAGACGGCCCTCATGGTCCAGCACCAGACGCTCCATCCCACGCCTCGTCAGTCGCAAGTCTCGCCGGTCCGATACATGCTCAAGATGACGACCTTCATCACATGCGCCCTGACCCTGGCAGGAGGCAGCTGGTACGTCGCGGTGAACATGACGACGGCCAGCGACCTAACCGCGATTTACAACTGCTCTGCATTCTTCGCCTACGCCTTTAGTATCCCCATCCTGCACGAAAGGGTCCGCGCCAGCAAGCTCGTCGCCGTGGCCATTGCCATTGCCGGTGTCTTTGTTGTTGCATACGGCGACCAATCGCCCGCCAAACACGGCTCCAAGTCAGGAGGCGGAGCCGGCGGTGACAAGGCACCTCCTTCCCACGAGGCCGAGAACCGCGCCTTTGGCAATCTAGTCATCGGTGTTGGAAGTGTCTTGTATGGACTCTACGAAGTCTTGTACAAGCGACTGGCCTGTCCGCCCGAGGGCGCAGCGCCGAACAAGGGCGTCATTTTCGCAAACCTGTTTGGCAGTCTCATTGGTGCCTTTACATTGAGCGTGCTATGGCTCCCACTGCCCTTCCTCCACTGGATGGGTTGGGAACTCTTTGAACTGCCAAAGGGAGAGCAAGCATGGATGATGGCTATCAGTGTTTTGGCAAATGCCAGTATGTCCACCCCCGTTTCTGACCAAACATTCCAATAATCCTGCTAACACTCGATAGCCTTTTCCGGCGCTTTCCTCGCCCTTATTTCTCTTACTTCGCCTGTCCTGTCGTCGGTCGCTGCGCTCCTTACTATTTTCATTGTCGCGCTCGTCGACCAGCTCCTCCCGCCGCCACTCAACTCGCCCCTCACACCCGCCGCTATCGTCGGCGGTCTATTGATAATTGGCGCGTTTACCCTGCTATCTTGGGCCTCGTACAAGGAAATGGACGAGGAGCGCAGGCACAAGCTTGAGGAGGCGCCTAGCGAGGCCGACGACTAGCACTCGTCAATACAGGAATTTTCTTCTCTTCTCCTCCCGTGTCGTAGAATTAAAAAAGGGTGGCTGGGTGGTTGCTTGATAGATTCAGCGGCAGCGCCTTTTTTGCCTTGGTTGGCTCTTTCCTCCTTGGCCTTTCTTTCCCTCCTGTTCTTCTCTCAGCTCTGGTACGTTATCCAAGGGCGGATTTACTGGCAGCAGCCATCTGTTGGGTCCTTATTACCAAGCTGCGCATTCTTTGTACCTCGGCATCATTCCCATTTGGAAATGTGCCGCATAGAGTCTTATTCTTCTTCTTCTTCTTCTGCTTCTTCTTCCTCTTCTAAATCTTTTGCGACAGTTCAAGGCGGTTTGGTTGGCTTCGGAATAGCACTAAGTCCGTGCTGGTCAAATGTTCCATGGCATGGTATGACATGGCAATCCATAGAAAGGCGTTTGTTGGAGTCGTTGTACTGGGCAAGCGGACCAAGAAAAGTCCGCTGTGTTTTGACAATATTATTGCTATTTGGCTTACTAGTTGCCGTATCGATTGTTTGCCTGTGCAGTTTACTTTGTTGCGCTTGGAGAGAGCTGTGTGGATGATGAATAGAAGGCTAGAGTAAATGCAGTGCCAAGATGATCGTCCTCGTGTGTGCATGTGCTCTTCACAGTGTACCTGATTGATGCCACAAGTTTGGAAGCTCTTTGGTGGTTACCCTCTCAACCCCGTGACTGTCGCGTGAAGCATGGCAACGGCGTTGGCGGCGCCGCGGTCCGCTCCTCCACTTTCTCCTTTGGCGTAGCTGCTGCATGCACGCATCTCCGACGCCCAGATCTGAACACCTTCCATTACCACCTAGCCAGCAACGTACCACAAGACACATCTTCTACGCCGCCATGGCACCAACGCAATCTTCGCCCTCGCCGGCGGCACCCCCCGATCTTAGCGCCAAACTCCCCAAACTCGTCCCACGCAAACGCACCTCCATAACGCGAGAACCACCTTCTGCCCCTCCCCCGCCCACGCCCTCGCTCCCCGCACCACCCAACCTAAGCCAGCACACGTACATACACCCGTCGCGCCGCATACTGAGTCCCGAAGACCACGAGTTGTTCCTCAAGAGCGAGACATGCACGCTGGTGGAAGCATTCATATTCGGCATTGCCGACTCGGTGCGCGACAGGAGCATATCGAGTGTGCGGGACGGCGAAGAAGTCACACCGACGGTCAAGACGATTGTCGAGATACTGGGCGAAGCCGAAAAGGTGCTGGAGAAGTGTCCGCCAGAAGACACGGGCTCGCGCTTTGGAAACCCCGTGTTTCGCACGTTTCTCGATGAGATCGACTCGGCCGTGACGGCGTGGCATGCGAAACTGGGACTCGGCGACGCAGCGCAAGTCGACGAGGTGTCGATGTATCTGCGCCATTCGTTTGGCAACCGGCGACGCATCGATTACGGCTCGGGCCACGAGCTGAACTTCTTCCTCTGGCTGCTGTGTCTGAACCGGCTTGGTTACCTGCCTCGGTCGACGTTCCCCGCGCTCGGTCTCGTCGTGCTTCCCGCCTACCTACACCTTATGCGCCGCGTCCAAGAAGCATATTATCTTGAGCCCGCAGGCTCGCACGGCGTCTGGGGCCTCGACGACTACCAGTTCCTCCCGTTTCTCTTCGGCGCAGCACAGCTCCTACACCACCCGTACATCACACCCAAATCCATTCACAATGCGCTCGTGCTCGAGGAAGAAGGCGGAAAGTATCTCTACCTCGACCAAATCGCCTTTGTAAACAGCGTCAAGAACGTAGAGGGTCTACGCTGGCATTCGCCCATGCTCGACGACATTTCCTCGGCCAAGAACTGGGCCAAGATTGAGGCGGGCATGCGCAAAATGTTCCGCAAAGAGATTCTGGAAAAACTGCCCGTCATGCAGCATTTTCTGTTTGGCAGCTTGATCTCCGCCGTCGAGGGCATGAGCACAGAGGACGAGGCGGGCGTGGACAAGGAAGACAATGAGGAAGAGGGCGGCGAGGTAAAGGTGTTTGATGATGAGGCAGGCAAGAGACACGTCCATGCCAGCGTGGGCTGGGGCGATTGCTGCGGCATCCGAGTGCCAGCGGCCGTTGGAGCTGAAGGCGAAGCGAGGAAAGGAGGCGCGAGGGGTCTGAGGAGAGTACCTTTTGATTGAAACACACACACACATTTGAACGATACCAAGAATGCATGGACATGAAATGGAACACGGCGTTTGGGAAATAGATGATTACCTGGATTCATGACCTTTACGATCATGCGTAGACACAACAAAACTGTACAATAATAATAGCATCATTTAGCAAACACACAGATACACACAAACAATATCAGCAGACTTGTATATATCTCCAGAATTCATAATTTGCACTGGTCAAATAACTAGTGGTATCAAAGCCTTCAAATCCGTCTGCCCACGACGAGTGGCTCCCTTGTCTCAATCATCCATCCATCCATTCATTTATTCATTCATTTCGTCACCAGTAAAAGGGGGGGCGCGACACGGATTTATTTAGCATTCAACTCCTTCTCGATCTCGGCCTTGAGATCATCAGGCTTCTTGGTGCTGGCCCATCTGCCCTTGACCTTGCCGTCACGGCCAACGAGGAACTTTTCAAAGTTCCACTTGACGCGCTTGAGGCCCATGAGGCCCGGCTTTTCGTTCTTGAGCCATTCGAACGCGGGGTCTGCCGTGGCGCCGTTGACCTGCGGAAAATCACAAATGTTAGCATATGTGTACCTCGCGCAACAAACTTGGGAAAGACGGAAAGAATAGGAAACAGGAAGCGGAGATGAGGTGATGTGAAAAAGAAAAGGAAGAGAAAAAAAACGTACATCAATCTTGCCCAGCACGGGAAAACTAACACCATAGTTGACCTGGCAAAACGTCTGAATCTCGTCGTTGGAGCCCGGGTCCTGGCCGCCAAACTGGTTGCAGGGGAAACCGAGAATCTCAAAGTCGTTGGGGTGCTTGGCCTTGAGTTCCTTGTACAGCTTCTCGAGGCCTTCAAACTGGGGTGTGAAGCCGCATTTGGACGCCGTGTTCACGACCAGGACGACTTTGCCGTTGAGCTTGGAGAGGTCGTAGGGTTCGCCTTTTTCTGTTGCGAGGGGCGCGCGCGTTAGCTGCGGGGTCTACTGCTAGGAGGAAGGGCGGGCGGGCGAAGGTGCATGGCTGTCAGAGGGTGATGCTGTGCGTTGCGCGGATGAAACGGATGGAGGGGCAAGATGAGGGGTTTGCAAAGGGCGCATGTGGTGTGTGGTTCAGAGAGACTCTTTCTTTCTGTCCCTCTCTTCCCTCTCTCTCTCTCTCTCTCTTCTTAGAGGCATCGCTGTACGATGGATATGAAAATAAGACACGGGGCAAACGTACTGTCTTTTGGCTTGAAGTCGTAAAAGCTCGTTGCAGAAGCCATGGTTGCGTATGCTCTTGTTACAGTACTCCCAGCGTAGTGTAATGTCGATAAACTAGGTCGTGTGTTGGCTGTGCGTCGAGCAACAGCAGCAGCAGTGGTGGTATTAGTGAGAGGAAAAGACGTAGGGGGTGCAGAAAGGTAGGTGGCGAAGGCGCAGGCGGTAGTACTAATAGAAGACGCGCTGGTGCATAAGTCTTGTCGCAGAGCAGGTTGAGGTCTCAGGTCTGTCGCAACGTACCGCGGGGCTGTGCTGACGCCTGTCACTGCCCCTCTTCGTCTGGTTCCCAATCCGCCCACTGGCGCACCACGTTTGCTGCCAACATGTGATCGCACGGCAGTGGCGGCCCTCGCGGACACCGATATCAAGGCCATGAATTGCTTGTCGCGTCTCCCGGCTTACGATATGCCCCGCGGTCCGGATCTTTTGGCTTACGAAAGACGATGCCTGTTGGACAGGCTGCGCAGAGTTGCTGCACACACCGAGGAACGAAACACCGACTCAAGGCGCCTTTTAGCGTGCGGGCCGGACTTGAGGCGCATACAGCGTGCTCGCGGTCCGTGTGGCCGTGAGAGCAGGCGAGGTTAGCTGCGTCGGGCAGAAGCAGAAGCCTTGGGGGATATGTACCGGCGCCGGCGATTGCAGGCGAAAAGGCGTACGAAGGCGTGATCACCGCGAGCTCTTGATGACGTAGGGGTCGGTGATTGCCTGCTGCATGCGTGCTAGGTGTAGGTGTAGAGTCAGCCCACCAAGACTTAGCCCATGAGTCGGTCCGATGGTTTCAATACGCAGCAAACAAGCCTCGCGGGACTCGAGGCGTCCCCCGACCGGCCCAAACAGACATGCACGCCAGGCTTGGAAACATGCCATTCGTCATCACGCGACATACCAGATTGCGCAGCAAGAGTAGAATAAACACATGTCTAGCTATACAAGTACAAGAGGAGGGGCCACCAACTTCCGCATAGCGGGCAATGATGGCCATACAAGACTGACCTCGCATACCTGGTCACCTCCCCGCCCATCCCTTCCTTACTCAAACACCATCGACGCCGTGAAGCAAACAAATAAAGTACAAACTCCGTCTAATGGTATACTCCCCCGTGAACACTAAATCAATCAATCTCACACATCGACCAAGACTCATGCCTTCCATATTGCAATGAGTTGGACCGCAGTCCGTATACCCCCCCACAAGGGGCTTGTGCTGTCGCCGTAACGGCAGACCGGGGATCCTTTGGCTTCCGAGTCCACGGCTGGGACATGTCCTATGGCTATGTATCCTGTGGCTGGTGTCCAGGAGTATCCATCCATCTGGGGGCATGGGCATCCATCCGAGAAGTGGCAGGTCATGGTCCTTCATCCGCTAGGCATGCGGGAATTCCATCCGGCTTTCGGAGAACGCAGAAAAGCAAAACGCAGTGCTGGAAAATAACAAAGGCAGGGAGGATCCGCAACGTAACGACAAACCTGCTTGTGTGCATCACGGCAGACCCGCTCTACCACACGCATACCTCATTCAGCCGCCAAAGACATCCCGGTACTGAGTACAGATGTCGTGAAGGCCAACAACCTCCTTTGTCAGCTGGATGTCGTCGCCAAGGTCACTTGGGTTGCTCAGGTTGGTCAACACATCGATGATGTGCTGCTTCTTGGTGAGGAACTCCTTGGAGAGGGCCTCCCGACGCTGCTGGCGCTGTTGCTCGGCAGTAAGCTTGACCACCTTGGCACGCTTCTCGCCAGACTCCTCAGCCGTAGCCTTGCGCTTGCGAGTCGAAGACTTGCGAGCAGTCTGTCCCTGCATAGGCGGCGAGGGCTCAGTCGTTGGGCCATCGTACTGGTGCACGCGCTTCATGTGGTCAAAGAGGTTGTAGCGACGGGGGAAGCCGTGGCCAGGCACAGCTCGCTCACAGTCCCTGAAGTGGCACAAGTGTGGACGAGCACCGTGGCCGTGCATACCGTGCGCCTCGCGCTCGTGGCGGAGAAGGCATGCAGTAGAAGAGAACTGCACACCAACGCACGTCTTCTTGTTGCAGCGGAAAGGCTTGAGGTGCGAGTCGACGTACTTGCTGCAAAGGAATTAGAATACACAACCCACTCGTCCGTCACATTGTCACTTACTCGTAGTTGCACTTGAGTGCTGTCGGCTTGTGGCTGCATCCAGGTTTGCCCTCTTCGGGACAGTGGTACTTGCCGTCCTTGTCTGGGGTTTGCTGGTACAGAGGGTGGCTGCGGGCGACCTTTGTGCGCTCCTCCTCAAGCTTGGTCTCAGCAGCCTCGGACTGGGAGAGAGTGTCCTCGTGTCCATCTAGCGATTGAGGTGCAGATTCAATCTTCATCTTCAGTTCATCGTTCTCACTGCTTCACAGGGGTCAGTGGTAATGGCTGGCAAGGAGGGAAGGGTATTTACCGAGACTCGCCAAGTCTTGACTGGTCAAGATCCACTTGAGGGAAGTGCACACTGGTAGTGCTGGTTGGTGTGCCGACGAATGCACCGAAGCTCGAGTCCTGTGCAGATGCTCTCCGTGACTCTCCCTGAAGGTTGTATGAGTAGCGTGCGGCAGAAGGACGCTCGGAAGCATCCATCGAAGCACTCTGCCAGTGGCGCTGGGACGAGGGTGTGCTGAACATGGCATCGTTTCCATGGTGCGATGGCCATGATGCAAAGGCAAATGTGTTGTTCTGGAATTGCGCGTCGGCAGTTGGCCAATGCGGCGAGTCGTTGAGAGAGGAGGGTGTGAATCGCGTCATGTTCGATGTCGAGTATTGGGTGTAGTCTTGAGCTGAAGAGTAATTAGCATACGCGAGGGGTCCCTCCGTTGGCTCCCATGATCCAGATATGGATTGATGAACGTGGCTCATGTCCAGGGTGTCTGGGAAAGCACTGAAGTTGTCGGAGCTCATGGTTGGTGAGTAGATGTCGCTGCCAACAAAGTGGTTGCTCATCTGGCCTTGGCTGTCCTGGCGGCTCATCTCAGGCTTGCTGGGTCCGCGCCGGCTGGCGCCACTCTGGCTTTGGTATGCGCTGTCCATGCTGCACTCAGAAACAGTATCCTTCAAGTCGAAGAAGTCTGAGGTGTTCATGTCCTGGATGTCTGAAGAGAAAGGAAAGTCCGGCGCGGAAACAATGGGTGCAGGAATCTCTTTTCTCCACTCAGTAATGTTGGAGATGTAGAATGCGGGCTCCGGTGGTGAATCGAAGAAAGAGTCGCTGGAGCCAGAGTCAGTACACAAACCATTTTACGTCAAACCTCAATGATAGAACGATAGATCAAGACATAGGAAATCGCCATGTTAGTAGAGCAGCCGGAAGGAAACCTGTATGCAACCCACACGTTAGTCAAAGTCAAATGGGCAGAAGTGATGGTAATGGGCACACACCTCAAGGAGCCAGGGATGTCAGCACTGTCGACCACAGGGTAACCAGATCCGATACATGTTGAAGCCTCATGGGTAGGGTCAGGTATAGCACGATATCCAGAGCATAGGCAACGCCAGTGGTGAGAATCCAGGTTCCATGGAAGCAAGTGCACACAAAACCAGAAAGCCAAATCCAGCAGGCAACACCATGCAGAACATGATATGCTCCTTTAACACCACGCAAGTTAGTTCGAGATCAATGGATCGGAGACAGGCAAACTTCAGCCCATAGTACGTACTTCATGTCCGTCCAAAGCATTTCCAAATCCACTCCATAGCCGGGCTCGGCTGGAGTTAGCGTCCTGGGCGGGTATCCAGCACGTGACGATTCATAAGTCACGTGTTCCACGGGCTGATCCTGGGGTGCATTGTCCATTGGCGTGTGTCCTCTGGGAGATTGCGTACATATATTGCCAGTTGGCTGTCGTTTAGCCTAGTCGAGTAACAAAACAGAAGAACAACAGTGCTGGTATGAGCCTACGTGATCCTCAGGGCGATGCAGGGCTGCATGCCGTTGTCGCAAACGAATTTTGATCCAGTGTGTGGTCGCGCATAACTAGCGAGGATCCACTCTCGTATGTTCACCGCCTTTTCAAGAGCTCTGCATTTTAGCTCTGAATCGGGGGCATCGAGGCCTCGTATTTGTCGTGTCTACAAACACTGCAAGGGCAGCGTGCTACGAATTTCGAATCCTGCCGGCGGAATCCATGGGAGAATGTGATCCTGCGGAAATTGAACAACAGTGGCCATGTGGGTGTCCTTTACCGGGGCGGTAAAACCTATGGTATCCTGTGGCATCCATTGGGAGATCCATTGTGGGCTGTAATGGCGGCGAAGCTGAAAAACAAACAACTAGACAAACAGTAGGAAAGAAACACATGACTGTAGCAGCACAGGATGTCGCAGTAGTGGCAGGACGCAAGGAAAAGGTGAAGATCAAAGCAATACGGGTTGGGGGGGAAACCGTTGGGCAGTAAGTACCTGGATAGGGCTCCGTCTGGGCTCCGAATTGTCATCCTGAGCGAGGGCTCTTGTGTGTAGTGGTGGATTTGGGAGTTGCTGGTCTAGCAAACGTGGCAAGAAGACTCGCGGGAGCTGCTACGGTAGTGTGCAGAACGATGGCAGTCGTCGATGGCGAGAGTGAATGTTGTGGTGTCGAGGAGAGAAGAAGGAAGCGGGCGAGCTGAGAATATGCGGGCGGAGGGCGTGGTGTGCTGACCGGCTGGTGGCTTGGTGCGAGTGCCAACGCATAGGGCGAGGGCCCCACCCGGCAATCCTGGCGAGTAAAATTCTTCGGCGTTTCCAAGGCCAATGGGCTAAATTTGCGTGCGCGTCTTGGGTGCGGCGGATGCACTTGTTATCACGACGAGTCAAGCGCTAACGTCACAGACACGGCGCTCGGTTCACTCGTTACCCTGCGACGCCTCCAGTACGACTCACCTTCCAAGGACGCTGTTCCGCGTCGGCGAAATACTCCTGTCGCTCTCGGGCCAAGAGGGCGGAAGCGCTGCTCAATTACCGCCAGGGGCCTGTGGGAAAAAGCGAAGAGAGCAGCGATCGCCGCGGCCGCCCGCCGACCGCGTGGCCCGGGTGGCGGCTCGATGGTGCCGTCACAGCTGCACCTTCACCGCGGCTGGCAGTGCCCTCGTCTAGCGCCCTGATCAACCACCGCCATCCCTCCAGCCTGCCGAGCCGATGTTCACAAATCACCTGAACAAAGCCATCGCAGCGCGGGGCCATGGCGCCGCACGCGAAATAGCCTTTTGATTGACACCACTCGCGCGACGGCATACCGGCTGCCTCCTCTCCTTCGGCCGGCGCATCCGTCATGCTTTGCACCCACGGTTCAACAAATTTCTTTTTCTTGGAAACTGCACCGCACGTCCGCCGCCGCGCCCACCACACATGCACACACAAGTGCCGGCTGCGCTGCCCACATGTGACAGTGACAGCGACAGCGACAGCGACAGCTTCAATACACGCTTGCACGTCACCTGCATGCGTTTCAGCACGACAGGGTCACTTGAGCCAAACGTCGATAACGTCATGTGACACCGATGGCGTCGGCGGCTGTTTAAAACAAACCATGCGCAGCACATATAGGCCATTCAAATGCCTCGACACATCCAAACGACATTTGCTGCGCCAAAGGCCTGCAGGCATTCCATGCCCACGGCAACGTGGCTGCCTCGGACGGAGTCTATTGACAGTTAGCACACGTTGCAGCCAGCCATCATGTCATGTAACGTCAATTGGATTTTTTTTGTCAGATAGGAGCGAAAGACAATGCTGTTTGGTTCCTCAGTGTCCAGTGGACTAAGATGAACTATGCTTTAAAATTTTTGGTATCATCAGGGAAAGGGGATAGGGGTGCTGACGAGGGTGCCACGTACCTTTTTTGCTGGCCTTTGTCATCGTTGCAACACGGTAGCTATAATAACCTGCGCGGCAAGTCTCAGGCCGCATTCAATCGAGCTGCCGTGTGAGTCACACCTACTGCGTGAGCGCTACAATATAGGTGTACCCTCTGTTAGTAAACTGTGCATGAGAGGACAGCGAGCGATTCGCGACACGCGCCGTGGGAGAAGGGGCTCCTCATCAGGCCGGCAATTCCATGTCCGAAAGATCGGCATCAGTGACTGCAACTCCGTCTCTCCTAGGAGACCCAGCTAGCGACGTAACAGCAGGGAGTAGTTAACTCCAGCGTCAACAGTAGTCGCCGAGCCTTCAATGAATACGAGATTATCGATTTCGGGGGTGCCGAGTTCGGGAAAATTTGCGGAAGTGTGCATTGTGTTGTGTTGCTGAGGGTTGAGGAAGAGATTGCTGTGCAGAGCGAGCGCGAAAAGACATTTGCGCTCCTTCGCTTAGCCAAAGCGGCATGGCGCGGTGCTTTGTCAGCCACTGACGTCAGCAGTTCCTCTGCGCTTGCCACGCTCCTCCTCCTCAACCATACTCTCTGCTCTGTAACATCAGCAAGGGCTGGTGACAGGTGCTGTAACGCAACCACCACCGCCCACGGCATGATGTCGACAGTACCATGATTTGACTTTTTTCTTCTCTCTCTCACAATTCCTGGTTCAACGCATGACTGGAACCTTCTCGATGGTGTCATAGCCTCTCTTGGTTTGACATTGCGGTGTGAGGGTTCAGCGCGCGACCTGTCGAAACGGGCGATATGCGACACCGCCTTACCGCAAAACATCTGGTCTAGTAAGCCGGAGTCAGGCTACGGAGTGTAATATCCATAGATCCACCTAATTAAAGTCGGTCGGCCCATCCCAGCCGCCGAGATCTACCTGCAAATATTAGTGCGATCGGTTCACTTCCGTCATGGCGCCCAGACGCTCCTTTGGATAGGCGCCGTTGCGCCTGAGGGCAGAGCCTGAGGACGCTGCTGACAGTCTTCGACGCCTCGACTTGTCAGCGGAGATCGAGGTCACGTGCGGCCGAACGTTCTGGCTCCCACACGCGTCGTGCATCCCTGAGCTGGATGAATCAGCCAACGCTCATTCGTCGCGGACCAGCCATTAGCTTTGACCAGCAAAAGCATCTATAGTAGTTTAGCGCCTCTAACCTGCCCTTCGTGTCATTGTTACAAGCTTTCAGGGTCCAAACTGCACTGGCACAATGCGGGGAAAAAGCATGCCCTCATTGATTGGTACGATCACATTCCGTCTGCGTAATGGTCATGCCACATGCGATCGTCCGTTTGGGGACATGAAGATGAGGGGTCATTTATGAAGGAGCTGGATTCCCCCTCCAGAAGGACATCCAGCTCAGCCTATCTACTGTACAAGACTCGCATTTCAGCTACACTCGACTCTTCTTTACACGACTTTACGCCGCTTTCTTACAATATGTCTTCTCCCATTTCTCAGAAGCTGTCTTCTCAGGCCAACAAGGCCTTTGGAGAGAACGCTACACCGGCCATGCCAGATGCTCCTAAGCAGGACGTCGAGCGCCGAGCCTCAGATGCTTCAGAGTCCGGATCTTTCTATGACGGACGTCGGAGAGTGTGTTTGTCGAGATACATGCAGACGTGCAGTCGTACTGACATTTTATAGTCTTCGGCGGCACAGCGGTTTGCAAACCTCGAGGCTCTCAAGCGCCGTCAAGACGAGGAGAGTCTGGCCAGGAGGCAGTCCTTCCACGACGCATATGGAAAGCCTGGTATCCTCGGCACATGGTGGAACAAGTACGTGCTACGTCACTCGCCCAAACTCATATACTGATCAGCTACAGCTTTACCCGCGGACCTGTAGTACCCCAATCGCAGCCCAAGAATGGGTCTTCATAAGCTAAGAGTTACTCAACGAACGGTACCATGATGATACGAAGTGACGGGGTTTCGGAAAAGGGTGGGGTTACAGAGTACGCGTCGCACATGTTGGCTCTGTCACGCGATCGTGGATAGTTTGTGAGGAGGCTGGACAAGACAAATTGCAGTGTCTGGTGTTCATGCATACGTGTATTATAGGATGTTCTTATCCATTATGAATGAACGAATAAACGTATTCTTGCGTTGGTCAGGCAGTGATGTACTGGATTACTTGGCTGGGATTAGGCTATTGCGGGGAGATCCACATTGCCGCGATTGGCTGTTACGAAAGTGACGTTGTGGCTAGAACCCACCATGTATCCATGAACACCTTTCCTCAATCCTCACTTTGCGTCCATACTCGACGGTCACATTCGCGTCGCCCCCTCCGAGGCAGGTCTTGTCGCTGCAGAGATACAAAATTCTATAGCACTACACGCTTTTCGATTGCGGTGTCCCGCGGCGCCCAGCTCTTCGTCGTCCCTCCCTCGCTCTAGTCGCGACGACAGTCCAACGAGGATAAAACAGACCAGCGATGGCTGCCAGACACCGCTCGCCAGGTTTCGGTGACGTCACCAGTATCAACCTGAACCGCTTGCTGTCGAGGCTAGATCGAGTAGTGCTGGCAGACCCGTCGCCAGAGTTGCGAAAGTCGAGTTATGAGCGTGCACGCGTGAGCGCGGTAAGCTGGTCCTTGTGAGCCAATACCATACGGATAACTTACTAAATATCTCCTAGAACATTGAACATGCACGCATGTTACTCCTCAACCTCGAGCACTCTGCCTCCACGATACCGTCCAAGTCGAAGAAAGCGGAATTACAGGCCGATTTGCAGCAGAAACGCGAGCTCATCAAGCAGCTTAACCAGCGCATATACGAGCTGAATCAGCTAGACGATGCGGAGTCGGATGGATCTGTACACTCGGACGAAGAAGACGCGGACGAATTCCCCTCATATGCGCCGAGAGTGAAGACAGAGGCGGGTCGCGATATTTCAACGCCGGGAGAAAGCAACGAAGCGCTCCAAAACGCTGCACAAGGATTGGCGTCAGAACTGCGGCGGAGAGGCAAGCCAGGAGCAGATGGATCGGAATCCGGGGCACAGGCAGCCTCTGGCAACTCTCTCTTCCCCTCCAAAGCCACAACGACGACAGGCGACCCATCACACGCACAAACAGAGGCACTCCTATCGCACGACCGCAACGAACAGGAAATGCTCACAACAAGCCTTCTCGACATGGCGAAGCTCTTGAAGCAGCAATCGATCAACTTCAGCAATGCACTCGAGGGGGACAAGGGTGTGGTGGATCGAGCCCTGGCCGGATTAGACAAGAATACACTGAATATGGATGCTGCTAGTAAAAGGATGGGTGCATTGCGGAAAATGACTGAAGGCAAGGGTTGGTGGGATCGGATGAGGCTCTACGGCATGATTGCTGGGCTCTGGCTGATTGCATTTCTGATCGTATTCGTGGGGCCCAAGGTTCGCTTCTAGGACTGCCCTTCGGGTATCAGCACTGTCGGGAAGAGCAGCGGCTCCAAACTTATTTCTCCCAATGGTTCGCTAGCACGAGGAGCAATTGGCGGCACGCACAGTTCACCTGTGTATGCCAGCACCACGTTTGGCGCCAATGACAGCGTGTCACGCATGACCCTGACCCAAGTCAAGTCAAGATCCATGCCCCTCTACATGCTTTGTGCGGAACACGTATCTTACGGGCACAACACGTAGCTTGCAACTGCAATTGCACAATGCTAGAGGCTCCGGGCATGATCGGGCAGCCCGATCTTCACGGCTCAGCTGCCGATCTGGACCCTGCACGCAACCCGCATCCTGCACGCAGCCGCTTAGCGTCTCCAAGCTCCATCTTCTTATGTACCTTGATTCCGCCCAATGCATCGCTCAGGAATATCAACTAGTCACTTATTGATCTCGCGCATTCCCCCCAATCTGATACACTCGGTGTTGCGACAACATGGCAGCCATGGAAATGTCATCTCTGGGCTCGCGCTGTGCGTACTCTAGCAACCCCAACTAGTGGACCGCGTCCAATACAAGTCGCGATAACAAAACTAACGGAGACCCCCAGCCCTGAACCACTCCTCTGCTGACACCGAGGCTGAATACGACCGTCTCCGCGACCTTGCCCGTCAGGAAGCCGCAAAGCGCTCGTCATGTTTTGACCGCGCGCACCAAGCCTACGAAGCCGGCGATGGCGCCACCGCGCACGAGCTCTCTCAAGAAGGAAAAAGGCACGCCGAGAAGATGGAGCAATACAACCGCCAAGCCCGCGACTTTATCTTCCGAGAAAACAATGCCGAGGGACGCGTTGCCAGCGATACCATTGACCTCCACGGGCTCTTCGTAGAAGAAGCAGAAGACGTGCTGGAGGAGCGAATCAAAGTCGCCAGACAGCAAGGACAAACCCATCTGCACGTCATTGTCGGCAAGGGCAACCACAGCAAGAACCATGTGCAGAAGATCAAACCACGCGTCGAGCAGGTGTGTCAGGATCTGGGCTTGCAGTACCGCACCGAGGAAAACGAAGGTAGAATCTTTGTTAACCTGCAGGGCGGCAACGTGGATGAAATGCCGCCGCCGCCCCAGGCCCCGAGCTACGGCGGCTATCCTGGACAGCATCATGGTGGACAGCAAGAATACCATGGCGGACAACCACAGCAACATCACCAGCAGCCACAGCAGCAGCAGCAGCAGCAAGATCAGAATGACGACATTGAGCAGATGGTTAAGAAGGGGCTGCCCAAGTTGCTCAAGGCGCTCAAGTGCTGCACGGTTATGTAAATGGGTGTGTTGGATGTATCTTTTTTTGGCTTTGGCAGGGGGGGGGGGATAAGGCAACTTCGATTCGTTGTTGCAGATATCCGCCTGAAAAGATTCTGGGATATGGAGAAAAGAGGAACAGGTTTTGATACCCAAGGCGAAGCTATCGAGGCAAAAAAAATCTTTTTTGTTCATGTCGATATCATGCTAATGGGTAGGGTCATGTGTCATGTATGTATGTAAATAGTCTTGTGTTGATAATGTTTTTTTATTTTCTCTCTGTGTATACAAAATGAGGGGGGGGGCTGTGATTATTACAAGATATGTATGATTCGCGTGATTTGGCCGTTCTCTTCCTTCTGTTCTTTATTTCGTTTCGTAGCGTTTCTTTCTTGTTACCAATGCACACATATATATATATATCTAACCGTTCACGTACATAAGTAGAGTGCTGTAGTCGTTGTCATGAGCGGGCGAGAAAGAAGAGACTTGAATCAATACTCTCTCTAGCATTCCTTAGCATTTTATACTTCTCCCTCCGTCCACTACTACTACCAACCAAAAATACCCAGCCTAACTATTCTCATCTACTTACATAACCTACTACCCTGTCCTACATTATTCAACAACCTCTCGTATCTTTTTTTTTCTTTCTTTCTAACACACACACACACATATATATATATATATATACATTCATTCTACTCCAATCTTTGTTTATTTTGTTTTGTTTTGTTTTGTTTTTTTGATATATCTGGGTGCAGTGAATACGTTACCATGTACACGATATGGCATCAAGGGGGGGGGCTAGCGTGTATTTCCACTTCACCTCACATCAGATCATTCATATCATATCACATCATATCATGTTACATCATGTGTCTAACAAGGGAAAATAAAACCGCAGTGGAACTAGCTAGCTAGCTAGCTAGTTGGGACTGCTCGATGACAACAAAGTTGCAATACGGTACTGGAAATCACTCCCCCGGCAACCAGCCTTTTCGTATAAGCACTCGTATTTTTCAAAACGGGAATGCGCAGTTCAACGCAAACAAATTTATGATTCCAGCCTGAATACATGGGCATGCACGGATAGCTCAACCAGTCAATCAATTGATCAATCGAGCAAGCAAGCAAGCAAGACGACAAAGACAACAACAAAAAAAAATCAAGACAAGGATAGTTTGTATTCAGCATTTCTAGCAAACAAAAAAAAGTCAAAAAGTACAGTTTTTCTCCCCACCCCATTTTCTTCTTTCTTATATGACATTCGTTAGAGAGAAAGAGAAAAAAAAACAAATAAAACTCTCCCCCCCTAGGTAGAGTAAGTAACAAAGAGTGTGAGGAGGGGGGGGGGATGATGGAAAAGAAGAAAAAAAATTTAGCTCAATTCTTGTGATTTTTTTTTGATCCTCTGAAGATCTTTGCAGGCTGCGGCTGGTGTTTGCTTCCTTGGTTGCATCCTGTTCTGAACACACACCGCCCGCTTTGAGCCAACGGTGAGAGTGTCAAGGTTCCGAAGCTCACATGTGTTGGGGGGGGTGGGATGCGGCTGCGTGCTAGCACAGGCTGCGTGATTGTGACGCGGCGCATTGATCCGAGGAGCCGACACAAGCTGCAGTACAGACTGGACCTAATATCGATATCAGTGCCAACGCACTGGCGGTCGCCTGCTCTGGTTCCGCCGACAGGGCATGTCCTAAGTCGGACGGCCGGTGATGAGGGCCGTCTTGCTCCATCGGATGGAAGAGAGAGAGGCTCGCAGCCAAAACGTGTTTGAAGTAGTAGGATATATATCCCCACCATATCAGACAATAAAAATCAGTCATAGCCATTACCCGTGCCAATTTGACTAGCAAAAGCCGTGGATACACTTCGAGCATCGTCATCCTCGAAGCCACCAAGCCCGCCGCGCAATCCACGACCAGCACCGAAACCAGTACCGACATTTGGGCCTTGGCGGGTTGATTCAACAAAGCGGTTAAGGCGATCCGACTGGCTGAGTGACGTGGGCTTGTTATAGTCGTTAAGGCTCAAACCAGAGAGACTGATACCGCCAGGCGCATCGCTTCGGGTGTCAGTGAGCTCACTAGCTGCGATGGATTCGCCCGCAACACTCTGAGGCGCGCCATTCTTCTCCTTGCCATTGGGGCGGCCAGGAAGAGGCCAGGCCTCTTGGAAGTTGGAGAACATGGGCGGGTAGTTGGAAGGGACACCGACACCCCCAAGAGCAGAGGAATGAACGGAAGAGACATCGTCTGGAATGTAGCCAACAATGGAACCATTATCGTTGTACTCCTGGCGAGGCTTGTTGCCATTGAAGCCCGGCTGGCGACCAGAGGTCATGGCGTTGGCATGTTGGTAGGCCATCTGGTAGCGCTGAGGTCCACGGTATGTCTGCTTGGGGCGGCTAAACTGGAGAAGCGATACCTGCAGGTTGGTCAAAGGGCCCTCGACAAGACAGTTGCGCTCCTTGAAGTGGAGGAGGAGGTAGTGCCACAGCGGGTGCTTGGACAGAACCTTGGGGTTGCCGAGAATGACGAGACCATACTTGGCTCGCGTGAGGGCGACGTTGAGACGACGGGGATCACTCAAGAAACCGATACCCTGGTGGTCGTTGGAACGCACACAGGACAAGATGATGAAGTCCTTTTCACGACCCTGGAAAGCATCGACGGAAGCAACCTCCACCTCCTTGTAGTTCTCCTTCTTGAAACTGCCCGTTGCCTGCATGGAGCTGACGACATAGCTGCGCTGACCCTCATATGGAGTGATGATACCAATGTCACCTGGCTGTACACCTGCTTTGAAGAAGCGGGTGACAATCTTCTCCACATTTTGGGCTTCAGTCCGGTTGAGATACGAGGTTCCAGAGGCCGAGATTTCTTCAGCGCCGAGATTGGACCAGAACATCATGGGGCTGTCAACAACGGGCCAGGGAAAGTCAACGTCGCGGCGGATGCGTTCCTGCATCGTGACACCATTTTGAAGCGAGCCTTCGTAAAACATGTTGGATGGGAACTGGGAAAGACATGGATGCATGCGGTACTGCACCTGGAGTCGGATGGGAGAGCAGCCAAGGATGACGAGACGCTCGAACAGCGATTGGTTCAGACCAGCCGTCGCCGCCTTCTTGTTCATGATGACGGGTCCGAGTTGTTGGTGGTCACCTACCAGCACGACCTGCTTGCATCCGAGAACCAAGGGAATCATGCACTCTGGCTCGGCAGACTGGGTCGATTCATCAATGAGCACTGTACGGAACTTCATCTTGGACAGGCGCGGATCGCCAGCACCAACGCAAGTACAGCAGATGACGTCGGCTGCGTTGAGGATTTCGCGCTCGGCGGCGCGAGTGAGCTGCTTAAACTTCTTTTCGTCCTGGCTAGAAAGCTCGCCTACATCGCTCTTGAGCTGGTTCAGCTTGTTGAGCTCGACATTGGTGTCGTTCATGCGGACCTGCTCGTGGAGAGACAGGAAGCCAACAGGAGACTCCACATCCTCTCTAGACTTTGCTGTTACACGAACCGTCTTTAGGCCAGTGAGATGAATACGCTCGCACAGCTGGTCGACAGCGACGTTGGAGGGTGCGCAGACCAGAACCTGGCTGCCGCTGATCTTGCAGAGGTGGTAGATGATGGTGGCAGACGTGACCGTCTTTCCGGTACCCGGAGGGCCCTGAATCAGACTGAGAGGCTTCTGGAGAACGCTCTTCACGGCGTTGATCTGACTGTTGTTGAGCTCTGGAAGACCCGGGACGCTAAACTTGCGAGGAATCGAAATCTTCATGGGGGCTGCCGCAACTTCGTGGCCGAGCAGACGGTGGAAGATGTAGCCAGAAACACTCATCTCGTCAATGGCAAACGTCTTCATGGCATGCTGCATGCGGTCAAAGGATGTGGCTTTCCAGACATAGTCGGCGCTGAAGTTGTGGGTGCACTCGGTCGGAACCGACTTGTGGTCTCCCTTGGTGCGCAATTCAATCGTGACCTCGTCCGACTGATTGTTTGGGATCTTGATGACGTAGCCGACGCCTTCCCAGTGGGGGCGGAGCTCTCCAGTGTAGCGCAGTCGCATCTCATCGCCGACTGCAAGCTTGACGTCGCCCAGCTCGAGCTTGGGTAGGATAAAGCTGGCCGTGTGCTTGTTGTTCAGAGCCATGTCCCAGCGCACCACCAGATTGTCCTGCGACTGCGATTCCTTCAGCTTTCGATCGTAATCGGCCTCGATCTTGACCAGGGGACCAAAGACATTCTGGTACTGGAAGGCGTCGTCGTAGCGGAGCAGGACCTTGGCAATGACCTCCTCCTGGCCTGCGCCCTTTTCGAGGTCGGCAATGGTGGCATTGGCATTGTCCTTCCACAATTCCTCGAGCTTGGCAATGGTCTGGGGACTCAACTGGCGGGCACGCAGTTGCTCCTGGTCGGTTGGCGGGGGGACGAGCCAGGGGAGGAAGGAGCGGTCTTCGATCAGGGGCTGCCACCGCGACGTGTCCCACGTCATGTCTTTCTGCGAGGGCATGGCGGCACACGGCTGGCGGCAGAGCAGGACGACGACCGTGTCCGACTTTGCGGGGATGAAGCCGAGGAGGAAGACATTCTTGGTGCCGCAGTTGTAGCATTCGAGCGTCGTGTCGCCGAGCGACGAGGCGGGGTGCAGCTGGACTTCCTTGTGGCGGGCGCGGACCAGGTGGTTGATGATGTGCGACGACGACGAGTTGCCGCGGGCGCTGCAGAACCATCGGCTGCAGGCCAGGCACTTGACGACGCTGCCGGCGTTGTGGATGCCGCAATAGGCGCCTGGAGCAAGCAGTCAGTCAGTCAGTAAGGCAATCAGGCAGGCCGTCAGCCCTGCATAGTCCTACGTACACGCATGGGCGGGCAGCTCGACCTCGGTGTCTTCAGCACGCATGGCCGACTGGCCGTTTCGTCCGCCTACGGGCATGCTGGCCATGCTCTCGACATCGTCGTCGTCGTACTCTTCGTCGTCGTCTGCACGTCGCCGGCGCGAGAGCTGGCCGCGGGCCAGGTCGCCGTCAAGGATGCCTTCGTCGACAT